TGGAAAATTGTTGTTGTCTGCCTGACTCCTCTGTTCCCAAAACAACTGATTACAGAATCTGGCTCTCCCCTACAACAGCCTTGATCTGTTGACTAAATTCTTCCTTGCTGGATTACATCGATAAGGCTCWGCCCCACACCTCCCCCCCTCCTCTCTCACCCATCTAATCTGGTTTCCTGAGCAGGCTGAGGGTCACACAGAATGAACACTTCCATCAATATTCTGAACTATGGCTGCGCTGGTTTTGGGGACTGGATTCTTCAGGCTCCCTAAACGCATTTACTCCTCTGGCTAATAAATCTGCCCTATGCAGAGATCTTTTTCACAAACACCATAGTGTGTCAGTGTTGATATAATATGATGTTTTTTTTCTTCCTCATCTTCCCTTCTGTGGTTTTTAGTTTTTCTGTTTTTTTTTTGTTTTGTTTTTTTTACGGTAGCGCAACTATGTTTGCTGCATGATCGGTCTTAACTGCCCCACCCRCTTCCCTGAATGTACAGCACCTCGTGAATTTATTTCTGTGAAAGGCGCTATATAAATAAAACTTTACTTACTTACTTACTTATTTCAGTCCATCGTCTCGGTCCCTTTTCCTCTTGCGTGCCTCCCAGAAGTTTTGTAAGTTTTGCTGCCTTGTCAGCTTTTATTTTAGTCATTAAATATTTTATTATTTAAGCTCCTTGAGTCTGCCTGCTTTTTGGGTTGATTCACTCCACGTTTGTGACACGTATGTTTATATTACATAATGCAATAATTGTTCCGCACTTGATCTACTGTATTGATGTTTGGGGAAAGTCATGCAAAACAACTGCAAACCCAATTTTTGTTTTACAGAAAAGAGCTGTAAGAATTATCACCAGAAAGCATTATTATCACCCATCAAAGTCATTGTTCCATCATTTGTAGTTATTGAAATTTTATGATTTGGTTAATTATGGTATTTTATCAGTTATGTATAGGGCTCATAAAAACACATTACCTTCAAACATCCAATAACACTTTGTTAAAAGAGAGAGTTGTTACAATCTCAAAGGGATAAAGATACTTAAACCCAAATTTAGAACCAGTTCAAAGGAACAGAGTACTTCAGTCCAGGGTATAAGATTATGGAATAATCTGGAAGATGACATTAAAAATGCCAGATCAATGTGTATATTTATAAGAATTATAAATTCTACATATTATGTAGAAATTTAGTTAGTAACCTGTTGTTGAATGTTGTGTAATTGATTAAAATGCAATTTTATTATGTTGATTAGTAAATTAGTTTAATTGCATAGTAATTTACTAAGTATTTACTTTGTAATAACATATGTGACTAAAATAAAGTTTTAATCTGTTGGCAAATAGTGGGTAGTTCATATACTATTGAACTGTAATTGTATTAATTTTACACACAAAAATTTGTTTATTTGCATAGTATTTTATATGTTCTTACCAAGTAATTACATAGTAAATTGCAGTAAATGCCAAGTAATTGCATAGTAAAATGATTTACTTATCATGTGAATGATTGGTGATTCCGCAGTAATTAGGGGYCTGTAAAAGAAAGGGTTACTAAACTTTGAAGTTTATTACAACTAGACTTAACCTTATCAAACAAAACTTTCCTTTTGCAAGAACAGAAAAACAAAGTTTGGTGGGGATATAAAGGAGAGAACAAAAGTGATTATGATTCATATTGCCTCTTAAATGTCTGCTATAGATGWTTATATAGAGAGATAGCTGCTGTTCATATCTTCTTAATCCAAGTCTTCTATGCATCATTTAGTTCAAGTTCTGAGAGAACAAAAAAAACTTGGCTAAGAAGCTTCAGAAAAAMAAAAAAAATCACGAAGAGGAAAACTTAGCTGATCAGGTCAGATGAATTCACTGGTAATTTGTTTCTGTTCCCTTAATCTGACTTGAGAAGTTCAGAATTTTTCTTTGTTTAGGGTGATTGTTTAAAAGCATAAAGTTATAAATTTGAAGCAGAGCCTGTGTGAAAAGGGCTTTTAACACTTCAGACAATGACTCCTTTTAATATTCAACTAAGTGCCAGTTTAAAAAAAAACTTTCCTGAAAAGGATGTTGCCTCAGCACTGGGAAGTTATAATCACATGACAGTAGCTTTCATCTGACTGCTTTAAAAATGGTACAGATTTGCATTGACACTTTGAGGTGAGAAGCAAATGAGCGCTGGAGGTGTTGAATTACATTTGGACATGTCAAACCGGTGTCAGTCTTGTTCAAACACGTGGAAATTTGATAGTGCAGTCTGTCTCCTACAAGATGTGAACTTAGTGTGCAATTACAACACAGGGTGAGACAAGACTTACTTCCATGGAAGGAGACATCACCTGGCTGGATATCAGCATCAGTGTAATAGAAACAGGTATGGTGTGTTTTCACTTAATAGATGAGGTTCCAAGGTATCAGATTTTATTTCACTAAGGTGCATCTGTGATGTTTTTCATATTAGATATCTATAAAAGCTCAACYTGTACTTATGAACATGTACATCATTGTTATAGTTTGACTGAACAAACAGAGGTGCAGAGCAGGCAGGGAGCACAGAGGAGTGAATGTGTCTCCCCTACTGTACGATTTCCAAATTCAAATGTATTCATGAATGTATTCATGTATTCTTSTTATTTATACAATGTCTTGTTTCTAGTGATGGAACAACTAAAGCACATAATAATATTTACACAGCATAAATTGTGAAGTGATTTTTTGATAGAACATTACCTTCTGACTCAAAGGAGACTCCAGATAGAATAGAATAGAATAGAATAGAATAGAATATTGTCAATAATGTATTCTCACAGCCTGTATGAGGTTTGATTTGTGGTTTATTTTGCCCTTCACTTAACCACTGGTCAGTGGGGTACATATCAAGTCAAAAGAGCAAGATTATTTTATTTTTAATCTGAAAGTTCTCTCTGATGTCTCTCTATAAAGGCCCATGTWACATCATATAATTTATAATTTAGAAGTGTAGAGTTGCTCACAGTAAAACAAATTGGCGAGCCACCCATGTCGCTGCTCACATTTCTGTGGAAACTGAGATTAGGGATCYTTCTGTAAGTGCAGCGAACATCTAAATCAAAACAATAATTCTGATCAAGTCAGATCACAAAGGTAGGGCAGTGYTAATCTGTAGGTGGATGAGTAGAAGACGACAAAAAAACTAATGAACACAAGTTTATGTTTGTAAATGCAGAAATACAGGTGTTGGACAATGAAACTGAAACACCTGTCATTTTAGTGTGGGAGATTTCATGGCTACATTGGACCAGCCTGGTGGCCAATCTTCATTAATTGCACATTGCACCAGTAAGAGCAGAGTTAAAAGGTTAAATTAACAGGGTAAGACCATAGTTTTGCTCAAACAATTGCAATGCACATACCAGAGTTCAAAAGAGGACAAATTATTGGTGCATGTCTTGCTGGTGCATCTGTGACCAAGACAGCAAGTCTTTGTGATGTACAGTATGTATCAAGAGCCACAGTATCCAGYGTAATGTCAGAATACCACCAAGAAGGATGAACCACATCCAACAGGATTAACTGTGGATGCAATAGGAAGCTGTCTGAAAGGGATGTCCAGGTGCTCACCCGGATTGTATCAAAAAAAAAAAAAAACATCAAACCATGGCAGAATTAAATGTGCACTTCAACTCTCCTCATTCCACCAGAACTTTCCATCGGGGGCTCCACGAGGTCAATATATACAGCTGGGCTGCTATAGCCAAACCTTTGGTCATTCGTGCCAATGCCAAACATCAGTTTTAATGGTGCAAGGAGCACAAATCTTGTGCTGTGGACAATGTGAAACATGCATTGTTCTCTGATGAGTCAACCTTTACTGTTTTCCCCACATCCTGGAGAGTTACGGTCTGGAGAAGCCCCAAAGAATRGTGACCCCCAGACTGTTGAATGSCCAAAGTGAAGCATGGYGGTGGATCAGTGATGGTTTGGGCTGCCATATCATGAAATTCCCTTAGCKCAATACTTGTGCTAGATGGGTACGTCACTGCCAAGGACTACCGAACCATTTTGGAGGACCATGTGCATCCAATGGTTCAAACATTCTATCCTGAAGGTGGTGTGTATCAGAATGACAATGCACCAATARACACAGCAAGACTGGTGAAAGATTTTTTTGATGAACATGAAAATGAACTTGAACATTTCCCATGGCCTGCACAGTCACCAGATCTAAATATTATTGAGTCACTTTGGGGTGTTTTGGAGGAYCGAGTCAGCGAGTCCTCCACRAGCATCAACTAGTGACCTGGCTACTATCCTGCAAGAAGAAAGGCTTAAAATCCCTCTGACCACTGTGCAGGACTTGTACATGTCATTCCCAAMACAAATGGATGCTGTATTGGCTGCAAAAGGAGGCCCTACACCATACTAATAAATTATTGTGGTCTAAAACGAGGTGTTTCAGTTTCATTGTCCAACCCCTGTAAGTGTTGCATGGATGGAAAGGCTTGACAGGAAGCACACAGGCCTCTCTAATAATAACTTCACAGTCACTAAATAGTTTTAAATGGAAGTGAGTGTTTTGTGAATTGAACATGGAAAYGTATTTTACTTGAGTCTGAATGTAAATTAACTCCTGAATACATTCTGGATTCAACCTGACTTTGCTGATGTTGTAAGTTAAGGGAAAAATGGCCAAAATGCCTCATCTTTCTCTAAAAGTGTGCACCAAACGTACTGTATATCCTATCACTAATAAAAGGTAAAATACCAGGGAATAAAATTTATTTACAAAATTCCTTTTGACTAGTTTCATGGACCTTCAGCAGAGGACAACAGTGAGCATCAATCATTGTTTGCATCAGTATACCACTGAGCTCAGAGACCATGCGGCTTCYTAGTGTTAGTCTGGCTACTTTGAGCATTTGTGAAGATGCCGCTCCTCTGGGGTTTAGATGCACGAGTGTACTCAAATAGTGTGAAAAGCAAAAAAGCAAAGAAGAAAAAAAAACTCTGAGGCAAAACGTGACGTTAATGTAGTTTTATTGATTCAAATTGTTTCAAATTTCCAATAAAAAATAAGCAAATACATAAGAAGCCCTTGCTTATTGGCATATTAGTGGGATCAAACAATTAAAACCAATATAATTCATTAAGGAATGCACTGAAGATYTGTGGCTAATCCAGACAGGTTTAAAAAAGAAGAGTCATAAAAGTGTGAACCATTTACAAATTAGTTCTGGTTTTCTAAAGCCAAAGTGCTTCTTACCTGTCTCCTTCACACAGGTCACTGCAGGACACACACACAAAAAAACTTATGTGACCCAATTCTCCATCACTTTAGTTGCCCAATGGAATACTGAGTGAGAATGGTGGTTAGAAAGTTCAAAAGCGCTGCAGTCTTAGCTTAAGTACAGGGGGAACACGTTGAGCAGACAGGTCAGGGGAATGAAAATATAATTAAAAGTGGCGGACTGAATTCATACTCTTCTCATGCAGGAATTTGATTTCTGCTGGTGTTCTTGGCCCTGCTTCTCCTCACTGTTGGGCTTTAATTGGATGTTGAGCTATCCAGCACAATAAGACAAACTAAATAAAGGGAAGCAATTTTTYTTTGAGCAGCCACCGCAAAAAACATCCTTACAACTCAGAGCTGGTTACTGTACATGCAGAGCCTGTGGGGCCATCAGCAGGATTTATGTTCATTTATAGTTCTTGAAAATAACCTTAAATTAAAAACACTGTAAATAACAACTTTTACTGATATTTAAACATAGTTGATTGAAAATATATCAGTTTGTCAAAGATTAACATTAAAATATATTATTCATATATATGAACATAATTTATATATAATAAAATGCTTAAATTTTCAATAAAATCTCTCAGAGCTGACAACAACAGCTTGCAATTTAAATATAAATGTATAAGTATGTGTATTGCAGCAGATCCTATAATTTTTAATTTTCTTTTTCTTTTTCTGTTTAATCATCCCTGAATAACATGATGGGGTGTCTGACTGCTGTTGATTTTTGTGGTATAATGAGTGAAATGTGATTATCAGTAATTATGCAGTTTTGATTGGGGGGGTGGGGGGTGTTGGGAATAAAATAGGATTTATGACATTTGAAAAGTGTTAGATTCTGTTTAAGTGACATTTTTCACAAAGCGTCAACTTTTCTGGAATTGCACATGATAACCCAGTTGTCAAACCAGGTTGCATAGGAAAGAGGTGCACAGATGCTAAACAACAACAAAACAATTATGTGTTTGGGCTATTTGAAGCAACATTCACAGCACACAATTATTGTATTTTAATGCTGTAGAGTCTGCAGCACAGTCACAAGCCCCCTCTCCACTGATAGCCTTTGTTGAGCAGTGCTTCAAAATGTTGCGCCGAGATTATTTTGGTTTGACGCAATGRCGCCACTGAGGCGGCTCTGGCATCCTGATAGTACATTGGTCACACACTCACTGACTCTCTCCTCGCCAGATATGGGTGTCAGCCAAATGGTGCTATTTACTGGAGCAGGACTGGCACCTCTCCAGGCCATGAGGGTAGCAGGCTTGGCAACGTAGATCGCTGATGGACTCATTGAAGCGGTTCGCCAGCATGGACAGCTTGCTGCCATGACACAGGGAGCAGGGAGCGCAGCCCGAACCACCACAATGCTGGCAGCTGTCGGCCTCCTGGAGACAGAAGAAACACATTAGGGGAGGGGGTGGAGAGGAGCTGCGAGGTGAGGCAAAGGGTGAAACGGTGAAGAAAACGTAGGCAAGGTGAGACACATGTGAGATGCAGAGAAACTCAGCTCTGAAAGGGTTACTGACAAGTTCACAGGGAGGGCGAAGTCCTCACCTGTAATGATTGTAAATGTGATTATTACAGAGCTATGAGCAATGGCTTCTGTCTGCTTCTCAGACATCAGTCTGTGGGTTGTTACCCTTTTAACCGCATACATCTGTCTCCATTATAAAATGCAGTCATCAAACTTAAACATCACCAGAATGTATTTAACAACTGTTTTAAAGCTAATGGCGTTATGGCTGCTGGACATTTCYTAATTAACAAATCCTAATTCAGCTTGCTTTAATTAGACTGCCTTTTGAGAAACACAGAAACAACTTATTGCAATGAGAATTTGCCCTGTTGCATTTTCAGTCTGTGCATTTCTTCAGTGTGTCAGGATTAGAGAAGTAACACAGTAAATTTTGCAGTGTTAAATCAACACTTAAAGAGTTAACTTTAACATTGTGTCCGAGTCTATTTGGTCCTTATCTGAATTGGTGTCAGTTTAACACTTTCCATGGTGTTAATTTTTCAGAGTACGATTGAACTCAAATAGGAGTTAAAAACTAAAAACAACACTGACTAACACTGTACAGTGTTAATAAAACTTAACACTTCAAGTCAAATAACTGATGACAGTAATTGTGATTCTGATTCTTAGCAGAGTTACTCCATGGTGGTGACAAATCAACTCTGATTCTCATACTTTTCAACAGTACATTGAGTTATTGATGGTTAACACTGGAGGTTCATACCTTCTATGAGTGTTAATTTGACACTCGACTGTGTTGATTATCAACTCTTTTGCTGTGTAGAGGGGTGTAAAACAGACACAATGAGGTGTCATTACACAGAAAATTTGAAAGGGTAAGTTTAACACTTTAGAGTTAAGATCAACTCTTTTTAGTGTTGCYTTAACATRAGGCAGTAATTTCTGGATAAGTGTAATGGAGTTGACCAAGTTCACACACCAGGAAGTGTACCTCTATGGTGTCAATTTATGGCCAAATAACATAAACTTAAACTTGATCAAGTGATAAACCTGAACAAAATAACTAACTAGAAAAACTAAATTTTACACTCATGAACTTCTTTAATAGTCATAAATATACAAACACATCATTTCTACAAGATTACCAGCATTCCTTGCTGTGAAAATACTGGTCGGTCTAACATGAGGTGGAAGAGGGCGGGGCTTTTCAGAAGGCTTTTTTCAACACTGCATGGTGTCATATAACAACACTGCATGGTGTCATATAACAACACTGCATGGTGTCATATAACAACACTGTTAATTGTTAAATAACATTTAACCATGGGCAGAGCTTATTTAACATTTTCCAGTGTTGAGACAACACTAAGGAAATCAACACTGTGAATTAAAAACAACACTGGAAGTCAGTTTATTCTGAAAGTGTTAAAATAACACTAGAGTGAGTTAAATTAACTCTGAACAGTTTAACACTGCCATTTTAACACTGTTTTTTTATAGTGAACAATTGAGAATCAATTAATAATCAATTCTAACTGCTTAGAATATGTATCAATTCATAATTAAGAATGAACCCATTTCATTGCTACTGTATGACAAATTCAGTTTGATAGTTTTGGTCAAAGAAGGATTTGTGAAGGCATTTTAATTTATTGTTAAGTTATATTTTGTTACAATATTTACTAATTGATACAAGAACAAAAATGCACATGTTCAAAGAAATAGAAACATTTGGTTAAAAATGGCTACAYTTCATTTTGTTGAATAAAAAAATCWAAATTCTGAACWTAAAATCAATAACTGAATTGATTTGGAGCTTAGGTGAATCGTTACATCCCTAGTCAGTATAGTGTACAACAGTCACAAGGAGTAACATCTGTAATAATTTATAGGACCCATGAAGACTAGAACAATATGTATGAATGTAAATATTTTTATTCATTTGAAAATAATATTTTAGGAATCCCTAAATGTTTTTTAACTTATTCCTATATATATATAAAATCAATAACTGAATTGATTTGGGGGTTAGGTGAATCGTTACATCCCTAGTCAGTATAGTGTACAACAGTCACAAGGAGTAACATCTGTAA